CATTTAAACTTTTCTTGCTTGAATTAATAGACAGATGGGGAAATAGTCTGGTCAACCCATTGAGCGCCAGCACTCTGCCCTCATCAAATTGGCGTCAGACAGAGTAAAATAATCTATAAAAATTTACTGAATATTGAAGAGTAGAAGTGATGATCATTCCTATGTTGTACAGTTAAAACACAGACAAGAAGGATATGTATTTTAAAAATGTAAACAATATTCTTGGGACCGCTTCAAACGTTCAAACAAATCTACCAACCTGAAATTCGCACTATCTTGACCTCCATGTTGACCATGATCTGGACCTTGGCAGCAAATATTCAACGCTCTTCCCTTCGATTTGATCTTTCGACAGAATCGACTGTTTAGCTTTAATTTTGTTAAATATTTAATATTCGTGTTCATTATTCATATCCAAGCACTGTCCTTACAAAGATTTACCATAGTATAGCCATTATAAAGCTAATATACGCCCCGTTGAATGCGATTCGAATTCAAAATTTATAGGTATTGTGCGCCAAAGAACGAACAATAACCAACTGTTTATGAAAAGAAACACGACGATGTCCATAAAAGGACATAATCGAAACACCTCGCTTCGAGTTCGGTAAAAATAGTACCAACATGCTTTGCACACCACGACTTTTTCCATATTTCATATTTGCGAATATTCAAATCGTTTGCTTCTTTATCGCCGGAATATTTGAATATTTATTACTTTTCAACGCAGGAATACTTAAATATTAAATCAAGCAAGGTATGTACTACATCAATTGCTATTTATTTCCCCAGAAGAGAGAGTACAATCTCACTATCTCAGAACTATATTGCTATATTGTAACGGAATTTTATTTTGCTGATTTTAATGCAACTCGTTTATATAAAAATACATGAGAAAAATGTTGTCTTGAGTTAACAATTTCACAGGATTTTGGCCTCTCTGCAACTGATTTATTTCTTACAAAGTCAAAATTTTCTCATCGCTTGACAGCTTTTTGATAGTGTAATATTTTAATATAACAAGATTTGTTTGGACATCTCACTTGATTGAAGTCATTGAACTTATTAAATATCGAATTATGAATGTTGAAGGAGTTTGTACATGGTCTAAGAATAGGATTTTCACATCCAAACATTGCCAATGGATGTTTGGGGTGAGGGCACTGAAGGGCGATCCCTACATGCAGCTTCAAATATCAATATGTACCTTGGTCATTTTAACCTCATTCGTATATGGCCTGTTCAAATGAGCCATAATAATATTAGCATAGAAAATTACATTTTGTTCATGTAATGAAGCACAAACTATTAGGCCACTTGGTCAGACCCCAGATTTGTTGAAACGAGAGACTGGGCATTGTAATTTTAATGAAAGCATTGTGAGAATTATCGATGTTCTAGAGAAAAAGAATTCATCATTAAGAAAAAGCTAACTGCAACTACTGTAGGCCAGGATTTTCAAGGCACTGTTATAAATGTGTCTAATTTGACCCATAATCATCATTCATTAATAATATCAATTTTACTTAGGATTATGTTGATGAGCAATCTTTTGCTTTTTCAAATTTAGAGGGCTATATATAACAAACCAGTCATTGGTGACGCTAAATGATCTTCATTCAAAATTCATTATCGTAAAGGAATCATCGGCAAGAAATGGTCTTTTCATTGGCTGATAAATATGAGCTTGGGTAGATGTTTGCCAGGTTGTATATTTTTTGTAGCCTTTGACTTGCATAAGGAAAAGAAAATATATGCTGAAACTACACGCTAGACGATGAACTCATTGTTGAAGAACATATTAGTTATGTTTATATAGAAAAAGAACACTGTAAAGTCACCTTGCACTGGACAGAGTAATGTAATAAGTGCAGAGCTCGGCACAACTAATCTACATTACCATTTGCAGTTTAAATGGTAATAAATGTGATATTTTACATGCATCCAGCTTTACAGTCTTACATTTTGAGGAGCAATGCAGTACAAAACTTAAATGTGCCCTGCTAACCTACTGCCCTTTCATTATATTACTCTATCTAATAGCATATAAGGTTATATTTCATTAAGGGGTGAGTCTTATTTAATAGTTTGTTTGTGAATTTATTTAGATATGTATCATTTTGATATTGAGCATAATAGTTTTCAGCTAAATACATTGTGCTTTATATATTTTCTATTTATGTGTATAATGCTAAGTTGAATAGAATATTATTTTTTGCTAAACTGTGTTGATTTAGGTTATGTTAGATGCCACTAAGATGGTTTCAATAAATCGAAACACTGACTTGGTCTCACTAAATCGAAACATTGACATGGTCTTGATAAATCGAAACATTGACATGGTCTCGATAAATCGAAACATTGGCATAGTCTCGATAAATCGAAACATTGACATGGTCTTGATAAATCGAAACATTGACATGGTCTTCGATAAATCGAAACATTGGCATTGTCTCGATAAATCGAAACATTGACTTGGTCTCAATAAATCGAAACAATCACATGGTCTCGATAAATCGAAACATTGGCATGGTCTCGATAAAACGAAACATTGATATAGATTCCATAAATTGATCAGAGACAGAGATGCCTTTGGTTTAAACCAACATATTTTCACTGTTAGCTGTTATGCTACTTTTGCATTATTTGATTCTTTTCAGAACAGTCTATAAAATGTATTGTTAATTTTAGGTAAATTTGGTTGTTTTGGCAAGGGAAGAAAATTTGCATTCTTTTTTTTGCACAAAAGGTGTTTTTAAGCACCAATTTTTCTGTGTTTTTCAGTTTTGTACAAATTTGTTTAAAAATACGAAAATTGGCAACATTTTTGACTAAATAGAATATTGGACCCTATAGTAGAACGTGTTAACATTTCAATTTTCGAATTGGACGGTCTATACAGTACCTTGAGGAAACAAAAAAGGTTTACTTTTAGGCTTACTTATTTCCGCACAGATTTGTTCGAGTACTTCAGGTACCAAGTCGTTACGATTAATAAATGATATGTTACTTCGAATATACATTGCTACGCCACTGCCATTTCTATTTCTATCACGGCGTATAATATCATATCCAGAGATCTTAACTTCAGAGTCTGATATATTATTATCAAGCCGCGTTTCGTTTAAAATGTCAAAATGTCAAAAGGTTTATCTTGCATGTAAATTAAAAGCTCGTCGAAATGTTTCGTTAATTAAACTAGTAATATTTAGATGGGCAATTTTAAAGCTCCGTAATTTTGGTAAAGGAGAGCTAGCATGAAATAACCATTCGTTAATAGAATCGTTGCTGACATCGGTAATTAAAGTTGAAGTAAAAAGTCAATTTGAATGCTTAAAAAAATTTCTAATGTTTTGAGCCATAATGGCAGTTCCTTGTTTATTTAAATGGACTCCAGACGTGTTCAAATGAGTTCCATCAATATTCTCATGGTTAAGTAAGTTAATGTGTGTACAATTAAATAACAAAATTATTTGTATATAAAATTATTTTTGTAAAAACAACAACATCAAAAAAAGCTAGCCTGTAGACGGTCAGTAAACTGTCCAGAACATCCCAAATATAAAGAATTTTATACATTTGTATAATCCTAGAGTTTTAAAGAAAAATCTAAACCAAATATACAAAATAATTTTATCAGTAAATTAATCTATCCCCACCTCGATTAGCTTTAGGAACCTGCATATGGGAGTGATCATCACTGGAAATTATAATTGTTGCCATTGTTAATAAAGGGATGAGTCATTATCATACTAACCTGTAATGAAGGTAGTAAATGCTGCCATACTGATGGCCGAACTCATACCAGTCATAGAAAATGACACTCTGGACTTCCTGTCTGTCTTGTCCACAGCTAGTACGTATGCAACTCCGTAATGCAATGTAAAGTCGACCGACAGACCCACAGATACAGATAACGTAATGGACTCTAAAATATTCAACTTCCATCCCATCAGTACCAGGGACCCAACAGTTGCACCAAGGGTACAAGTTATGGTAAGAGTAGCAAACACGCTAATATATACATTTCCGGTTGTGAGAAGCATCACTCCAAAAGCAATAGCAAGGGAGACACTCATTGATATAAATGTTCCTTTGGATAAACTTTTCTGTAAATCGTAGAATTGTAGCTCGCTTATAAACCATCCTTTCGCGGATGACGGCGCTTCGTTAAACTCCCCGTTAGCCCAACTTTCTGTTTCCATCCAGAAATTGTCCGCTGGATCATACGACCACGTGAATGCCACGGTGCTGTCGAACTTCAAGGACATTGCTCTTAACCGGCCTCTGGCATCGAAGATCGGTACGCCATCTGTTATACTTTGACTACTAAACTGAATCTCCTTTATTCTTTGGCACTGCATTTGTTGCATGCATTCAGAAAATGTGGTAGAATTGTACGGAAATGTTGAATCTGAGCAACATATTCGATTGTTTTTCGTGCAATTCATGCTCATGTGGACAAAGAACTCTTCGATGAAGGCCAATTTTTGATCTTTAGCAAAAAATGATTGCTTTTTCAAGCGAGGAATAAGGCTAACGATCCATCGTTGACCCTCCTGACTAGCAATATCAAAATCATCATCCCAGTTAAGGCTTCCCTCGTCGGATGGATCGAACTGATCGCCCGTATCAGTGGCTTTGATGCCCCATATTAAGTTGATCGGAAAACTAGTCCTTTTCGCTGTCTCAAAATGGAAATTCTTCTTCAATTTCAATGGGTATTTCTCGAGTGCATGTGACTCGCGGAACATTTGAAAGTCCTGAGACGAAGGTAACTGAAGTCCCGGATCGACAGTTGAGACAACTATACTCCCTACAGCGAGAAGAACGAAAAATACCACAGAAAAATATCTTAATTTTATAACAATACGTGGTAGAAAATTCGTAAAAAATGCTGTATGCCATGCCATTAATTTATCAAATACTGTACTAATGTTGCAGATACCCTTAAGTTTCCGACAAAATGTGGAACAGCAAGTGAAGCGCGAAAATACTTTCTGTTGAAGTATAACCACAGCAGGAAACCACGTCACCATAAGGAAAAACATACATAAAATAGACAGACCAGAATAAAGACCGAACAATCGAATAGACGTAATCTCTGAAGTCAGACTTGCAAGAAACGCTGCAGATGTTGTAAAACTTGTAACAAACATCGATAAGGATGCGTGTTTCATTGTGTCAGCTGTAATACTTATCAATTCCTCGTCACGTGTTTCTCTATTCGATGGTGGCTGCCCAAGCTTTTCCTCGTGTTTGTGCATGGACTGGTTCCAAACATCCATGTAAACAAAGGCATCGTCCGCAGCAATACCAACCAAGAAAACTGAGGTGAGAAGATTCAAAAACGGGAAGAACGTCATAGCAAGCACCTTAGTATAGATGAAATAAGAAATGATCAGACTTGACACTACAATAAGTCCAACCACTGATGTAATAAGAAATGAACGAGTATACAGCCAAAGAATAATCATCACAAAGAACATTGCAATTGCAGCGAGGTATAGATCAATCAACATGCGCTCGTTGAAGATTGCGTATTTCAGTTCACTCATTTCATATCCGGATAGTACAACATTACCATCGCTAATATCGCGATCTTTTAGTTGTGATTTATAAATACCAACTTGGAAGTTTTCGTTTACTTTAACAGGCACGAGAACGAGGCTATAGTGAAGGAATAGGCTGGAATCCGACCCACCAGACAAGAAACGTTTATCAGTAAGATAATGAAGTACATTGTAAACAGCATTGAACTTTGTACAATTGTCTGGAACTTGAATGCATCTTCCTGATCTTTTTTGATTCATCATAAAATCCCAGCAGTCTGATTTCAATGTTTCGTTATGGTAGAATACGGAGCACATCTTTAGTAAAATACTTGTTCTTTTCACCTTAGTTTCATCTATATTCAGACACGAGGCATTCCCATTTAAAAGTGCAATATAATACCCAATGGACCAACTTGGACAGCAATGCTGTGTTCCATTCGCTTTGTGACAATGATTATCAAAATTATAGTACTTACGAACTATTTTGTTTTCCAAACGGCAAATTGATTTCAGGTTTTTTGCAGTCAGCAAATTCTGTCCGTTCTTAGTACTGAATACAAGTTTTGCTGTGAGTTTACCCTGAGTGAATGTTTGTTCTTTATTGCATGCTGCAGGAGTGTCTCCAATCTGTTGTTCACCTATAGGATTTTTAATTCCACACCTAGTAGGAACTCTTGTGACTTTGCCTCTGTGTTCATCATAGAAAAGATTCAATTGACTTCGCCAACGATCACTGATTACTGTACCTCGTGCTTCAAATCCCTGAACAATAGAACAAAAAGAAGAATAGTTATTAGGTGTCATTTACACAGGGTGTGGTCCCTACTGGGGTCAATGCCCCAGTGGTTATAATATTATATTGACTGCTATAACAAATCTTTCAATTTATTAGTGTATTTGTCGAAAATCAACTACAATATTACAACAAAACAACCTTAAAACTCGCAAAAAAAAAACCGTTCGCAGTTCGTTCTAAAATCATACATTTGTTTCTATGGCAACCGTCTCCTGATTGGCCGGCATATAATGCCCAATCAACATAAATTAATATAAATTAAAAATGTTTTATACACTGCCCGGGGTTGATCATTTAAGATGATCAACTCATAGATAGTCTTCTAAGTTCTTCTCCTCGCAACGCAGCCTTTCGTCGTGGTCGTCAGTCATTGTTAACGGCTTCATCATTGTTCAAATTGTTTACTTCAAGTTCCCTTAGTTGATCCGTTGTCACCTTATCATCTTCTTCGGAGTCTGCAATCCCTTCGTCGGCCGATCTAATTTCCAATGGAATTAAATGTTGGATTACTCTTCTTAAACAGACTGGGTTTCTTTCGCCGTTTGCGACTTTGACTCTCGCAGCTCGTATCTGACCATCCTTCCTCACCAACAGCTCCTCGACTCTGGCTAGTTTCCAGAAAGCTCGTTTTGTAGAATCCGATTTCACCAAAACTATGTCTCCTACAGATATATTCGCTCGATTCGATTTCGATTTGGACTTACACGTAGCGTTTTCTCGTAAACTAAGCAAATACTCTTTTTGCCATTGATCGGTAAATTGATGAAGGACCTTTCTTTGGTGCTTTGCTCTTTTTGTCAAGACGTTACTGGTACTCATAAGTTCGTAATGTTCACTGCTTGGCATCGGGGTAATTTGTCGACCGTTAATCAATTGAGATGGTGTCAGTGGATAAGATAAAGATTCTTCGTCGTCATAGACGTACGTAATTGTCCGAGTGTTTATTACAGCTTCGATTTCGATAAGAACGGTATTTTGTTCTTCCAAAGTCAGTGTTGATCGACCAACAATCTTTTTTAGACATCGCTTTATTATCTTTATCAATCTCTCCCAGAAACCTCCCCACCATGGGGCCCTTTCCACGATGAATGTCCAAGTAATGCGGTTATTGGCCAAACGACTCAACACATCCTGTTAACGTGATAATGCTTGTATTTCTTTCGACGCTGATCGGAATGTTTTAGCATTGTCCGATATAAGCATAGACGGCAGTCCTCGACGACTAGCAAAACGGCGAAATGCCATCAGAAATAATTGAACACTTAGACCCTGTGTCAGCTCCAAGTGGACTGCCCGGGTTGACGCACATGTAAACAAACAAACGAATACTTTGTTAGTTTGTTGGCATTGCGTTGAGACGTTCTCTCTCTCTCTACGAACATACAAAGGTCCTGCGAAATCTAAGCCGGTAAATGTAAAGGGCGGTTCCATTGATACTCTTTCCGCTGGCAAATCGGGCGCAGATGGAGGTTTGAATGCGATTCCTTCATGCTTTTGACAAATGATGCACTTCCTCAAATTTCTTTTAACGGCTTCTCGACCGCGTAATACCCAAAATCGTTCTCGCAGAGTAACCAGTGTCTGGCGAATACCTGATTGCATGATTTTCTTGTGCACATCTTAGATTATCAGATCGGAGAAATGATGTTTTGAAGGAAGTAAAACTGGGTTCTTTGAGGACTCAGGAACTGTGGCATTGTTAATTCTACCTTTACATCGCAATATGTGTTGATCATCTAGAACCAGACCGAATTGGTTAACATAAGCTGGTGGACAACAATCACGACTGTTTTCGATAAAATCTAATTCACTTTCGAAGGATGACATTTGGACAGTTCGTATCCACATGGACTCGGCTTGGCTAATCTCTGTTGCTGTAAGTGCTTTCACTTGTGAATTACTCGATTGTTCCTCTCGGCGTTTCTTCTTTAGGATATTGATAAAACGTAATACGTAGGCTGTAACCCGCAATAATCGTGTCAACGTGCTGTAAGAATTACAGTCAATGATCTTGTCTAGACGAGTTGTTGATGCTCGGTGGTTATCAGTGGTTGCAAACGAATGCGTAACGGTCTGAGGATTCTTTACAATTTCTTTAATTGCTTTCTCTGGATCAGTTTTACTTGTTGGATGTACGGGCCACGATTCTTCTGATTGGCAGAGAAATTCGGGACCATTCCACCACACTATGTTCGTTTCAAGCTCCTCTCCGTTCAAACCACGGGATGGTAAATCCGCAGGATTTTGCAAACCCGGACAAAATCTCCACTGTTCCTTGTCTGACAATTGGCGTATCTCTCGGACTCGATGTTCGACATACTGCTTCCAACTCTTAACATTCTGTATCTAATACAATGTAGTGATAGAGTCTACCCAATAGAACGTTTCAGTGTCTAGCGGCAGAGACAAAGATTCCTTGATGGTTGCTACTAATCGTGCGAGGATAAGAGCTCCCAGTAGTTCCAGACGCGGAATACTTTGTTTCTTTGTGGGCGCGACCTTGGTCTTCGATGCTACAAACTTGACTGCTACGCGACCGTCTTCGTAGGTTGACCTCAGATAAACTACTGCGGCGAATGCTTGTTGAGACGCGTCACTAAATCCATGAAGTTGAATGTTCGTTGGCTTGGATCTCACATCAAAATAACATCTAGGTATCCTAACGTTGGACAGATGCTGCAAATCAGACACAAAGGAATTGAACCTTTCGCGTGAATCTCCATGTAACTCTTCATCCCAGTCGATTTTGTCACAGCAGAGTATCTGGAACATCGCTTTCAGGCGAATTGTGAATGGGCTAAGGAAATCCAAAGGATCAAAGATCTTGGCTGTCAGTTCAAGCAATGCCCGTTTTGTGATTGGCAACGACTTGGCATAAGTGATCAAGTTCTCGAAATCAAAGAACAGTTCGTCAGAATGAGTGTTCCAATTTGATCCTAATACCTTTACTGATTTCTCTCTGTTCGAGTTATTGGGACCGATCGTAGATTTCGTGTATGATTCATCCTCGGTGGTAACTTTCTTTTCGGTCTGGGTTAAGGTATCTTGATGGATTTCGCACTTGTTGATGGATTCAAGAAGGGTGGAGGAATTTGAATTCCACTTCCTTAAATTAAATCCTCCTTCGCTCATAATTTCTTTGGACCATTTGTAGATATCGAACGTTTGGCTATCGTTGCTGCCTCCTGATAGGATCGTCCACATACAATGATTTCTTTATCAGTTCGATAAGTTCAGGGTACTGGTCTTGGTATGAATTCAAGTGTTGGTAAATAGTTGCACGGAGAATTGCTGGTGAGGGGCGAAGTCCGAATACCAAACGACAAAATCTCAAATGTTTGATCTTTGAATTCAGTCTTTCGGGGTCTTCTAGCCAGAGGAAGCGAAGCATATCTCGATCTCTTGAGTCAATCCCCACCATGAGAAATGCCTTCTCGATGTCGGCCGATATTGCAGCATGAGAAATGCCTTTTCGATGTCGGCCGATATTGCAACTGAATTCCACCTGAACCTTACGAGGACATCGAAGAGATGTGGTAAAAAATTTGGACCCGTTTCTAAGAATTCGTTTAGTGATCGTCCATCACTGTCAGACTTAGCAGACCCGTCATAAACCACGCGTAGTTTCCTAGTATCTTTATCCTTTCGCACGACCGCATGATGAGGCATGTAATGTATTGGTCTTTCTTCCCCACTCGTTTCATTCTCTGCATTTCCCAATTCTTCCGGAGGAACTTCTTCAACCACTCCTTTCTCCAATTGATCGTTGATGGTGTTGTTATATTCTTCAAGAAGTTCTGGTTCCTTTCATAATTTGTACTGTAGGGATTTCACATCACGGGAGGGAAAAGTGGTCCTACTTCAAACCGCTCAATGCATTGCTACAAACGCTGACAGTATGAGATCAACCACCGTTCGTGTTTTATTTGACACTGGAAGTCAAAGAACATATATTACGAACAGTTTGAAATCGCGTCTGGGTTTGAAACCTGTGGAAAAGGAAAGCCTTCGTTTAAACACGTTTGGTGATGACCGCGTTCGAAAGGAAACCTGTGATATATTCAAATTAAGCCTGCAAAAGGGGGACGGTGAAATGGTTGATGCAGCTGCCTTAAATTAAGTTTTCCAGTCATATGTTCATCATTGCCTCTCAAAGTCGAAATACCCACATATCGAAGGGCTTGCCCTAGCTGATGCGTTTGATGACCAAGATAGTGGTTCTATTGATGTTTTAATAGGATCAGATTATTATTGGAACTTAGTTACTGGAGAGACAATTCGAGGAGATCATGGTCCTACAGCCAAAAGGAGTAAGTTGGGCTGGTTGCTGTCTGGTCCTATCAATGGTGCAGGAACGAATTCAGTTGACACGTTTACGACGAATCTGATCATATCTGGGGAATTTGGAAACCGCTCAGCTAATGGTGATGATGAGTTAAAGTCTACGTTCAAACAATTCTGGGAGACTGAATCGATTGGAATCCGAGAACCTGAAGATTCATCCATTAATCAGTTATCGAAGTCGTTTCTGAAGAACATTAAATACGAAGACCACCGCTACGAAGTGTCGCTACCATGGAAAGAAGACCAAATGGATGTCCCAACAGATTACGTGATGTGCTCGTTGCACTTGTAGCTGTTGTGGTTTCAGCTGAATCACAAGGCTTTGTTTGGCTGTGGGTATCCAGGTTTTCTTTCGTTGAATCTGCTGGTTTTTTGTGATTACTTCGAGAACAAATTGATTGATGATGTCATTGATCACATTTTCGACATCCCCTTGAATTTTGCCACTCTTGCGACACGTGACCAATACGTAAACAAATAAAACAACGCTTGTCTCTCCGTTATATATCCTTTCGATCTTGCAAACCGGTTACTTTTTCACAAGACGCTGAATAATGCTGTTCGTTACAATACGCACACCGAATTCTCGTCGAATCCCCTTGATTTTGCTTCGAAAACAACGCTTGAGACGTGGGGTGTTGATTTTTGCTCCGTTCCAAGGAGGGGTGTGATCTTGAGTCGTTTAATTTCACTTGGTCGCTTGCTTCTCTCGCTTCAATTTCCAAAAGTTCGTTGATTTTCCAAACTTCATTCGTGGACTTTCGTGCAACTTCCAATCGTAAGCTATTTGGGAGCTTTGACATCAATATCGGTATTAGTAAACTACCATATTGTTCTGGGGTAACCCCCAGTGCCTCTAACCCGCGTACATGAACTCGAATTTTATCATAAACAAATCGAATAGATGATGACCGTTCGTTTGAACAAGGTTGGACCTTAAGAAGCTCATCCATATGAGCAGCAAAAATTTGTTGTGGTCGACCAAATCTTTCCTCGAGAATAGCAATGGCGGCGTCGCAATAGTTGCTTCGGTTAAAGTCAATCCTTGAATGATCGAGCAGCTGCGCCCTCGAAATGCGAAAACAAATAATTCATTTTGTCGACTTTCGAAATACTGTTGTTCTCGTGAACAGCCGCTTTAAACGATTCCCAAAAGGGATTCCAATTCGTAACGTTTCCTCTACTAAACTTTTGCAGCGTTATTTTAGGCAATTTCGCTCGGATTTGTGAGGGTGAGATATGCAAAGTTTCAACAGCCGGCGCCGTATTAATCACTTGTATTTCAGACTTATTTACCACCGATTCTAGTCGTACAATTATCACTTATTTACTGAGACCGAGGGAAACAGTGTGTTTTGTGGACCAGAGACCGTCAAAGAAACAACAAATTAAAGAACAAATGAACGTAAATACATGAAATATTTTATTGTTAAAACGTTATATTAAATACTGGCTACACTGCAGTTACTTAAAGCGAAAGTTTTAATTACGTACTAGGCATGTCTGGTTTCCGTAAAAATTATTCCACCGCATCAGCCCTTTTAGCAAATACGGATTCATGGTTACTTAACATGGATGCTGGGATGATAAACGGAGTACTTTTTCTGGACTTATGTAAAGCATTTGATACGGTTGATCACGGAATTCTCCTAAGTAAATTATCTATCTATGGAATCCAAAATAAGGCCTTAGATTGGTTTAAATCTTATTTGCATAACAGAACGCAATACTGCAGGGTGAACAGTGCAACATCGTCCACCAGGAAAATACGTTGTGGGGTTCCCCAGGGATCGAACCTTGGTCCCCTTTTGTTTTTATTATACGTCAATGACCTGCCAAATTGCTTGGATAAATCCTGTCCGGCAATGTATGCAGATGATACAAATCTTACAGTATGTTCAGATAGCATTAATAATTTGGAGGAAGCACTAAATTCTGAAATGAAAAATATTCACCAGTGGCTTCTTTCAAACAAGCTAACTTTAAACATTGAAAAAAAAACAGAATACATGATCATTGGAACCCGTCAAAGACTAGCTAAAATTCAAAAAAATACTAGCGTATCATGCGGGGGGAAACTATTGAAACAGGTTTATTCCAAAAAGACTTTAGGTGTACTGATTGATGACAATCTATGTTGGAATGAGCAAATCGACAACATCAGTAAAAAGGTATCGAAGGGCAATGGTATGCTGCGCCGTGCAAAGCCATTTGTCTCTTGAAACTCTTAAATATATTTATCAGGCTTTAGTGCAACCGAGTTTTGATTACTGCTCCATGGTTTGGTGAAACAGTGGCGAAGGTTCAAAAGAAAAGCTACAGAGACTACAAAACCGTGCAGCTAGAGTAATCACAGGTGATACCTATGAAATTCGCTCCACGGATATTTTAAAGAAATTAAATTGGAGAACACTCGAAGAGAGAAGAAAGGAGCAAAAATTAGCATATGTGACCAAAGCCCTTTCAAACCAATGTCCTGAAAACGTTTCAACTATGTTTAAAATCTCAAATTCTAATAAATATAATTTAAGAAGTAATAACAAGATGCTGATGTTGTCGAAGCCTAAAACAAATTCAATGAAAAGGACATTCGGATATGCTACTGCTAAAGACTGGAACTATAATAGTAAAATTTTTAAATCTACTTAATTCATTTGTAATATATATATTTAACGTATCGCTTCGACCCAAATATTTCTTAGTATCTTTAATATTTTTATAATAGTTTATATAATAGTATTTCGAGTTTTAATTTGTATTTAATAACACGGCCTAATGAAAAACAACCTTTATAATTTTTGTAAATACTGATAGGTAATATGGTTGATTAGTTACCGTGTATAAAGACGTAATAATAATAATAATAATAATAATAATGTCCAAAAGTCGCATTTTCACGTGATGGCGCACGTGATTTTTTTTGTTATTCGCCGGCCGATAACGTATTATCTCCCTCTCGCGCTGTTGCGAGGGAGACAGCCTAATTTCGTCACTCTCACGTGATATGCTCTAAACCAATAAAACACTAGAAAAATGCGACTTTGACTATTGATATATAGAGATTACTTCATGGTTGATGAGCGCGTACGATTTTTATGTACGAGTTGCGAAAAATTTCTATAAACGAACGAGTGAGCGCAGCGAACGAGTGAGTTTATAGGAATTTTTCGCAACGAGTGCATAATAAAAATCGTACAAGCGAATCAACCATGAAGTAATTTGTTTATTATATGAGTTATTATATATTAGAGTGAAATTTAAGTGCTGAACGATAGACACAATTCACCAAACGTTTCAAACATATATAATATGCATAAAAAAGTACAACAATAGCTACAACAACTGAATTATTTCGCTTTAAAATCGTAATTATTCAATGAAACTGTCATTGCAATGTTACAAAGCTCAAAAACTTGATAAACAATTACTATATTTTGAGTAAAATTTAAGCGTAAACAATATATGAATTACCGTCACATTACCGTGTTCGTGCGCTTAATAAGTAACGTATTAGAAACGAAATGTCACTCAAAGTTCAAAATCTAGACGTCAACAACATTTAGTCTGAATCAGACTCAATTAATCTTATTCGTTTGTATTTTTGTGGCGACACATCTTCTGTCACTGCTACTGGAGACTGATTTAAACTGTTTATCGAAATGCTTATGTGACCTCCTTGAATTACCGCGCCAGAAAACAAAGCCATTGCTTGTTGTTGTTGTTGGTGTTCGACTTCCCGGTTTGGCTTTTGTTCGCTAATACTCGAAGTGGAGGACTCTTTGCAAGTCGCCAAGTTCGCTAAGGCTCGAGACATTTTCATTTGCTGGTTTTGGCTTACGGTTGAATAATTCGTAACGCTTTGCAAATTCTTATGCCCAGAAAGTTGAACTATGTCTGTGGGAGCAACATCGTTGTTGGTCAAAGTTTGCATCATCGTTTTTCGCCCGCTATGATTGCTGATGTTTGGACCAAGGCCAGCTTTCTCAGCCATTCTTTTCATCAGCGAATTTAGTGTGTTCACACCAATAGCAGATTTTTTAAACCAAGACTTCGTCTGTATTCATTTCATTCGGACGTTTTTCTGCGTAGAACTTGTAAACAAAGACAGGATCTTTTTCCGGCGGATTTGTGGGGATAGCATACATTTTTGGCGTTACTTTTCTAACATCTCTTGGGTTGTCTCCTGTACGTGTTTTCGTTTGTCGCTCAAAATACTCTATATATTCCTCTCCATTCGCGTTCTTGCATGGTTTTACGTCGCCCCAGCACATATCTCGGTGTTCTTTGCAACCACGAAGGCCGAAGTGAATAGTATTGTTAAACCAAACCGTGTTTAGCAACGCTTCGCGACTCGAAATTCCCAAAAGTTCTTTCTCGTAAAGCAGTTTGACTTCATCTTCGCTAAGAGCAACGGAAGCGTTCGGTTTGTTCCCTTTTCCTTTTTGCTTGAGCTCTTTTTGTTTTGATTGCAAAGCTTTTCGGGCACGTTCAAAACTCTTATCCATCATGATACTAAACCCATTCTTTTTCTTCAAATACCTCTCGAAGCTGGCGAACATAGAACGAAGGGAACTTGGTTCATATTCTCCCTTGTCTTCCTTCTTTCGAACAGAAATAATAAATTCGCTCAGGTATTCATTAAGTTGCTCTACGGAAATGTCCTCGATCCTTCGCAATTCATTTTTCGACGATAGAAATCGTTGAAGAAGTCCAATGTCCTGCAGTGTTTTATTTCTTGTATTATTATTCTCCTGTTGTTCAATGAATTCGCTTACGGATGGTGTCTCTGCGAAGCGTGAAGCCATTTCAAATCAAAAGTCAAACGGACATCTAAAAAAACTGATTTTTTGTTTTCTTGTACGCCAGTGGCGCGGCGGGAAAAGTAAATACGAAATTTTTCACTAGTGACAAATTCCGTACGTCCAATGAGAAGGCTAATACGACGTTCTTCACTAGTGGCGAATGTCGTATGCCCAATGAGATCCTCAGAAATGTTAGGCATATGGTTTTTATTCGACAACTTTATCGCGTATAAAATTCAATACTCATATAATAAATAATAATACACGATGTAACCCTTGCCGTGTATTCTTCAGATTCCAATATTTCCGCTCCAATATTTTTCACGTCGCATAAATTCAATATTTTCTCATCAACCTCGTTAAGTTTCGCCAGTTTACATTTGATTTGTTGTTTCAATATATTTAACTTCGTTTTCAACTCATTCTCCAGTTTTGTTGAACTCGTAGATGCTAAAAGTTCGTCGGCTTCGTTCAATAACTTCGTTGCAACACCACGATGTGCTCCACGAATCGCTCGTAATCGTTGAATATTTTCGTCTTCGGACATCGTTTACTCGTTGCTTTCGTACATATAAAAGGGCTCAGGGCCCCACGTTGGGCGTCATATAATAAATCTTTCAATTTATTAGTGTATTTGTCGAAAATCGACTACAATATTACAACAAAACAACCTTAAAACTCGCAAAAAAAACCGTGCGCATTTCGTTCTAAAATCATACGTTTGTTTCTATGGCAACCGTCTCCTGATTGGCCGGCATATAATGCCCAATCAACATAAATTAATATAAATTTAAAATGTTTTATACAACTGCATACCTATACGCCGGCCAGTGAATTAAATCGGGTATCATGCATAAATTACAAAACAGGCTAATTACAGATTTTGACATTAACATGTCTGATATTTTTTTAGTTATCGCACTAACTGACGAACACACGCACATATGGACCGATTCCCTAATGAACAAAATTTTGATCTAGACAAGTCTAGACACACATTTCTCTATACAGCTTGAAAGAGCATCACAAAATTAGTAACATTCCGACGTTTCGTTGCAAAATGTTGTAAAATGCGGATAACATACAGTAGCACTGCGAAGTTTGCCGTTTTTCAGTCATTTTTGTATCTGCGAAGCAGATATATTAGTGAGCTTAAGCAAGTGACGTTTTTGACAACACGAACGGCATGAGTAACGTCAGAAGACTGGTTCAAGGGCTGTGATTGGTGAAAAACGTCAACTTTACTTCCGGTCGACGTCCGTGTTGTCAAAAACGTCACTTGCTTAAGCTCACTCAGGGCGTAGTAAAACACGTGTTTTACCACGGGCAATAGGACAGGTGTAGTGTTGTTAAATAAAAAGTTAGAAATGGTATTGTACTTACCCATGTATTATAATTATGTTTAGAAGATCAGAATATTCATAACTTCTTATTTTGTTTCATAAATAGTTCTTTAATATTCGAAACAAATTCCACATCTACTTTGTCTGCCGCCGCCATGTTTACTCGCCCCAATCTACATACTACACGGCATTGCCGCCCCTCCTGGCAAGATAATAAGCAAGCGAGAAAAATTAAGGAGAAAATAAGAGGGTAGGAACATTCATAGGCGTACCGGGCGGGGGGGCGGCGGGGGGGGGCGGCAGCCCCCCCAGTTTTTTGGGCAGTCGGGCAATATTCGATCAACAGTCGGGCAATTTTGGTTTACAATAAAAAAAAATGGGACAAATTCTGTCAATTTTGTGTAAAATTAAGTCAATTTTTTGGCAAATTTTGTTTCGAAAATTTGTGTTATGTTCCGAAATATATTGGTTGTCCGGAAAAATTTTTTTGACCCCTAAAATGGTACACTGACCGAAATTTTTTTGGCGAGCGGGGGGGGGGGGGGGGGG